GAGCGGTGGGAACGTGGCCAATTGTAATGAATTTATCTGAAAAAGAGCTCTTCCTTGATCCCCATTTCCTGGTTCCTGGAGTTTTGTGGGGAGAACGTTGCCGCTAGGCTCAATAAATGACCGGAATTCCGGTTGCAGCCCTCACAATTCATTCCTTCCTGGGCCCCCTCTCCTTTGTAGAAATCTGGAGGCTGAGTTGTCTTCCACCTGGAGCTCCCTGGAGTCTTGACTAGGGAGGTGTACAGTGAAAAGTTCCTATTAACGCTTCCAGCCATCTAACCTCGGTCCCTCCTGCTGCAGTTTCGGTCCCTTCTCCAGCAACCACGCCCTCCATGAATCAGCTTCTTGCACCAGCCGACGAGCCCTTTAAAGGGATTGCATCAGGCTGGTGACTCACGGGGCCCTGGGAGAGCCTGGCTTCCCTCCCCTGGCACGCAGAAGCAGTTAGAAGGGCTGGGGGCAGCGGGACCCGCAGCCATAGCCCCACTCCTTTGTCTCCGAGGTGTGAACCGGAGTGCCTGCTGCATGTGCCTGTCGAACTCCTGAGGGCCCATCCACCTGTCCCCTGGGTCGGTCTGTGTCTGTGTGTGGGCAGAGGCGTGTGAGCCTGTGTGCACTGTGGGATTTTCCTAGGGCGGGTGGCCAGGCACTTACGTGTCAGTGCATTTTGTCATCGCCACACAGGCGATGCCAGGACATGGGAGGTGGTGTGAGTGAGGACTGGTGGCCCCTGCCTTTGTCCGTTGGTCCTCTCTCTCAATGCCCGGAGCCCATTGTGATGATCCGGCTGGCTGCCAGTGCCAGACGCTGTGCGAAGCATGCTGGAGAACACTGGGCTCTGGTGGGGGCGGGGAATTAAGTGTCTGTTTATAGGTGAGAAAAACTGGTGCTCAGAGAGGGAAAGGAACCTAGTCAAAGACCCACAGCTGATGGCGGGGCTACCATCTGGTAGATCACACCCAAAGCTGGGGTGTGAATCCGTGCTGCACCATTTACAAGACTGTGCAACTTCTCTCACCTTATTTAAAGTTTGTCAAAATCGGAAGAATGCATCCTGGGGTCACTGTGAGGATTCATTCACTGAGCTCTGCAAACGGCTTCTCACAGCACCCGGTGGGTGCACACACTCATCTCCATTGGAGAGCTTCACGGAGGCGTCTGGCCAGAAGACGGGCACAAAGAAACCAGACCCCAGCCCACTAAACACCTCTCTGACAAAGGGAAGCCTGGGTATTCCGGAAGACCTCACTCCGGCAGGAATGGGTTTTGGGTTTTCCAGAGCTCTAATTATTAGCTAGATGACTCAGTCCTCTTTCGGGGCTGACATCGCGGTCCCCACCCCCATGAGACTCTACTGATTCAAAATATAGGATTTCTGACAAAAGGGAGGAGGGGCAGAGGTGACGAACAGAACGGCACCAGCCAGAGGAAATGAAAAGCTGTCATCAAGATCTGCTCTGTAATCCTTCGCCTAATGTGCAATAAAAAGTTTATTAAATAAAAGAAAAGCTGTCGTCGGGACACTGGGGTCGGGAGATTGTGCGCGCGAGCATCTTGTGCGCCGACAATCTCCCTCTGGCCCCTGACTCTGGGCACGCCGGCAGGCAGACGGTGCTGCCACATAACAAAGTGACACCTGTCACCACAGCACAAGATGGTTGCTTGATGAGACACAGGCAGACCTGCCTGTCACAAACGGAGATGACAGGAGGGACCTTCCACCTGCAGGGGCGTCTTCCACCTTCTGAACCCCAGCAGGCCTTGCTTCCTGGCTGGCTTCTGGCTTCTCTGTGTGGTTGATACACTAAGTTTTGAGGGCCAGGCTCGTGCCCCCGGGCTGGGTACGATCTTGCTGTGCAACGGACGGAGGAGAGAGTGCTAGGAGGCCCTGTGGTCCAGTATAGTCGCCAAGAACGTGGAGCCGCAGGTGACAGTGGGATGGTGTCTCCTTCACGGGGTGGCCATTTTCTGAGAGACTGGGACTGTCCTGCTTTCTAGGGGCGGCTTCCTGTGGGCTGCTGACCCTGGGAGCAGTGGGCGCCCTGCCATGCTCCCACCGACCCTGAATCCATGAAACTGCACCACCCAGCATGTGTTGGCGTTCCTTCTCACGTCACCTTTCTGCACCCCTGGGCCGCAGCTACCGGAGTCTGAAGTGGGCTGCCGCTGGACGGATGGATTGAGCTGTCCTGCGATGGGGAGGCCTACTTGAGATTACTTCTTGAGATGAAGTTATTTCATATATAGCTATAAAGACCAGGGAGCCTACAGAGGGAGAGAACTGAGAGATGGGGAAAGAAATGAGAGTTCAAACCCTCCCTCTGCTGCTCACTGGCTCTATGACCTTGAACAAAGCATTTAATCTGTCAGAGCCTGTTTGCTCATCTGTAAAACGGAAGTGTTAATCTTTACCTCCAGGGCTGTTATAAACCAGTGACACCAAGCCTGCAGCTCTAGGGTCATGCAGTATGGGAGGCCCCACTCACGAGGCCTAGATCCAGGGAGATTTGTACTAGAGCTTAAATGCTGAGCACTGCTGCGGTTTAGTGGGAGCCCCCAATCCTTGAGTCTCCAGTTAGTTCTGACCATTGCCCTCAGGCAGTGTGCTTGCTGAGATTTCCCCACCCCCACCCGGCAGGCAGGCACCCTCACCCCAAGTCCAGAGAGTGGTATTCGCCCTCCCAAACTTGCCTTTGATGTGCCCTTCATGGAAATTGGGGTACAAGGTCACAAGGTCTTGAGCCAGATCCCCAAACCAAGGCTCTGAACATATCTTGTCAGCATTTTTTAAAAAAATCTTGTAAACCTTTCGAATCCCCATCATTCTCCTGATTCTACAGTCCCACCTGCAACTGGAATAACTGGTGTGCTGCCAGCCAGGATTCTGTCTCATGCTTGGTAATGTAGCTGCATGGCCTTGAAGCCTGGGAAGACCATGATGGCCTCCCGCCGACGATGGTCTCCCTCACCGGAACCCTGCTTCTGGGTCTTTGTCCTCCTCCATGGACAGGGTCTTTTCATCAGGGAGGAGCACCTTCAGACCCTCCTGTGGTGTTTCCCCGTTGTGCGAGTCTCAGATTGAGTTAGACTTTGTCTCCCATACAACTGACAGCCTATCCTTTCCTCCTTTTTGTATGTGACAGCCCGAGCTGGTGCTTAGCAGGAGTGGGTGACCGCTGCACGTGGTGGTTTCATTCCTGCCCCAAATGGCCTGAGAAGTCAGCTTGCTTCTCCTGGGTCCTGCTTCTCTGGGTCTTTCTAGACTGTTGACTGGAACTCCAGGGACCCCTCCAGCTGGAGATGACAGACGGGAAGCCGCTGAACAGGACTGTGCTCCCTCGAGTCCTACCACACTGGTCCAGCCTGAGAGCTAGAGGTGCTGGGTCTCCTGTTAGTCCCCCGGAAGTCTGGACACCGAGCTGCAGGCCCATCGAGGAGCTCCTGCATGGACCGGTGG